ACGCCATCGCGCTCAAGTAAGTTGGTTTGTTTTCGAACCTCCGTCGCGGTTCGGCCCGCTGACGCGTTTGGCGCCCGTTTCCCAGCCAGAAGTTCGCGACTCTCAACGAGAACTCTCCCTGCCAGACCGGCGAGAACGCGTGTGTGAAGGACAAGTTTGCGCAGTGTGTGAACGGCAAGTTCGTCACTCAGTCGTGCGGGGCGACCTTGATGTAAGTGCACGCCATCTCGGACGGCGCCGGCGCCGTGTCTCACCTCGGCATGATAGCTGTGCCGCCCTGCCCTTGGTCAACTCCCCCGGCACCAGCATCACCTGCACGACAGCGGCCGACCGTGACGCGCGCATCGCTGCCACCGGCGCGACCGCTGCTGCTGGCAATGGCAATGCTGGGACCACTACCGGCAATGCTGCGGCTAATGGCGGCGCTGCTACTACCACGACTCCTGCTGCGGCTGTGAGTTCTTCATCCTACGTTTCACGCCTCGTTCTTGACCTCTTTGCGCACAGGCCACTAGCGCCGCTGCTGGTACTGGTAACAACAACGACCCGCAGACGTCCACCACCCTTCTCCAGTCCGTGATCGCCACCGGGTTCCAGAACGACGGCCAGGACCAGCCCACGGCCGGCCAAGTTCCCTCCCTGACCTCGTCGAACAACTTCATCAACTTCTGCGCGACGGTCCCGAACCTGCCCATCACGAACGGCAAGCAGATCCAGACCGGCTCCTGCAACCCCGCGCCGATGGGTGTGATCGCGTCGACGGCGAACATGCCCTCGTCCAAGTTCGTGTTTCCCAAGAACGGCGGCACCGTCCCTGCGAACAAGAACTTCACGATCCAGATGGCGATCAAGCACCTCGAGACCGGCCACTTCACGAACGCGCAGGAGAACTACTTCGCCGCGCCCCAGGTCGTGAACGCGCAGGGCGACATCCAGGGCCACTCGCACGTCGTCGTTGAGCAGATCGACGCGCTCGACACCACCAAGGTCACCGACCCGACGAAGTTCGCGTTCTTCAAGGGCTTGAACGACAAGGCCGTCAACGGCGTCCTCTCTGTCGAGGTCGGCGGCGGTCTCCCCAAGGGCTTCTACCGTCTCGCGTCCATCAACGCTGCGGCCAACCACCAGCCTGCGCTCGTCGCCATCGCGCAGCACGGCTCTCTGGACGACATGGTCTAGTGAGTCATCTCAGTGCTGTGCTGCAATCGGATCATTCTGACGCTGCCTCCTAGCTTCACCGTTGCCTAAGCGAAGAGCTTGCAACACCTCATATCTGGAAGTATTTATTGGAGATGTACTGGAGGTTATAGGATACCCTAGTTCGGTACTTACTTGCTACATTCTGTATCCGTAGACACTGGTATTGTCACGAGAATGTCGATGGTCACTCTCATAGAGATCTTGCCGGGTTCCGAATCCCGGAGGACAGGAATGGTATTAGTTCAGGGAGCGGCAGCAAGCCTCAGACATGCAGGGCGGGGTGCATGGAGGACCATAGCTGCAAGGTATATTCTGTCCAAACATCTAGACGCACGAAAGAGGTGTACGTGATTACGAGTACGCTTGCTAGAGTATACGTAGTAGATCCGAACTACAGCGGCGGCAGAGGTCTGCGACATTGTGGACAGATGTTCTGAGATACAGCTGTCGTTCAGCGCCGCTCGGGAAATGCTGAAGAGGAGCGTGCTTACCTTGATGGCAAGCCACTGCAGGCGGAACAACTCTGTTAGCCGTCGACCAAAAGCACTCAGCAGCCACGTACCCTTTCTAAGCAAGCCGTATGCTGTCAAACGCACGCCGTCAGTACGCATGGACACAAGCAGGGCCGCGGGCACGACTCACGAAGAGGTGGTGACAAGGCGCAAGACTGTACGTCTTCCTCGCCCCGCCTACTTTGCCCAAAATCCCGCCAGCACGACCGATGACAGGTCTTTCCTTGCCATCGCTCGACTTAGATCGACGGCGCAATGAGGGGTCGACCAGTATCGCGTCCATACAGATAGCGCAGTCTCCGAGCGTCTGCTCGGGCGCCTCGGGGTCGGGCAGCGGTAGCGGTGGATGGTAGTCGTATGTTTGTGCACGCGACATCTGTGGGTGCAGAGGGAACAACGATTTCAGAAGTTCTAGCAACACTCAGGGTCAGGGAGGGAATAAGACGTACCCGTTTCGGCAAGAAGAACGCTGGGTCGACGTGTTCCTGGAGGAAGATGACGGACACGTGCACAAACATGAACAACGCGACAGCATAGATCCATCCTGCGTCGGCAAGCACAAGTTAGCCTCGGACCTGACATAATCTGCCAACGTCGGCTGTCACGTACTGCGGGGCTCCACGTCGAGGATGTTCTTGGGACACCCGAGGAAGTCTGTGTAGACATCATGATCAGCCTATCGCAGCTCCGGGACATCGCAACAATTGAGCACTCACAGCAAGCGAAGAACAGCCGACCCAGTGTCGTTCCGATGAGATACTCAAGCGACAGTCCGCTGCTTCGTGCACGGCGCGCCGAACGGTAGATCTGCATCAACCACATGCACGAGTAGAGAGAGCCAATGAAGAACAGCGGGAGCGAAAGGGCGATGACAATGCGGAAGACGATCATGAGGGTCAGCGAAAGGAGCGTCCCTGAGGTATGGTTCGTGAACTCGCACAGCTGATCCCACGATTCGTGTACTCACAGAGACGTGCAGCGGGGTCAGTTCTGAAGTGATTCCAGAGGAACTGCAGGAACGTCGGCCGCTCGGGGACGGTAGGTGTGGGTGGGGGTGGTGGTGGCGGCGGCGGCATAGGTTGCGTCGGAACTGACGCACTAGCACCGACAGGTGCTGGATCGCCAGATGTGGCTGGTGGCGGGGGTGGCGATGGGGCCGGAGGTGCGGGAGCAGGAGCGGGCTGCGGTGTCGGCGCGTCTTCTGGCGCTTGGATCTGCCCGATGAGAACTGCCATTTGCTGGGTCATCTTGTCAGGTACCAATCAGGGCATGAGGGTGGATTTGACATACAGCCTCGTAGATGAAGAGCAAGCATGCCAAACCGGCGGGTGCGAGAACTGAAAGCGATGGGCGCCCTTCGGCCAGAATTCCAAGCGTGATGTGCTGGAGGACGTTCTCAGCCGTGACGTGAGGCGCACGTGTCCGGGCTACTTACACCAATGAATGAGATCGCGTCGATGAGACTCTGTATGAGGAAAGTGTAACGAGACACTCGAGACAAGCCAACAGCGGAACTGCTCTCTGCGGCTTGTCGTCGGAATAGGGCAAGCAGTGCGAGATTGACGAGGGTAGCAAAGCCGGAATCTAAGTATGGCGTTAGTGCGTGAGTCACAGAGGAGGAGAGAGGGCGCACAGGTTATGATCTTGCGGTACAGGCGTTCCGATCTGGGGAGGACGTGAGTATACTCAACACGACCAAGCCTGGGAGAAGAGACTCACTGTATACCGATAGCGTTCTTGATTTCGTACAAGATGCCGCAGTTCTGACTGAGCAGCACGCCGTCCAGAGCCAGTTCCGGCGCTTTCACGGTCGTGATGCCCGTCGGCTCATCAATCTCTTTCTCGAGCTCGTCCATGAGCTCCTTCGGTACGTTGCTTGGTGGAAGCTGCGCGAAGAACCTGAACGAGCACTTAGTCTTTGGACTGTCGTCGTCGTCTGACGTATCTTGATCGTAGGTCCCCGCCTCGATTTTCTCCTTGAGTTTCGATATCCGGGTTGAGAGCTCCATCTCTACCGCACGTGCACTCTCGTTTCTGAACCTCTCGGGAACCAGTGCAGGGAGCTCTCGCATGTCCATGAAGTGGCTTGAGAGAAGATGAGTGAGCGGCGCTTGCGCGACTCGAAGACGTCGCTCAGCTTACCCCACTGACTCCGCGAATGCATAGACCGTGCCTGTTGACAGGACGTGGATGCCTTCGAAGTCTAGTCGGAGCGCTTCTGAGCTCTCCGGATCCGACAAGTCGATCTTCCCCTGCGGCGACGTAGTTCAGCAAGTTGGAACATGTCTACATAGCCGAGAGGCTCACATGTATCACGGCGATATTCTTGTTATCAAGTCCATCCCGTTCGAATGGGATGAGCTTGTCACCCACGCTCAGTGAGAGCTTGTTTGACCTCGTCCAGTTCCACGGTCCCAGCAATTCTGGGATGGCGGTGACATTTGTGGGCAATATGAACTGCTCGGCGAGGTGTCTCCAAGACGAGGCGGCCTCAGACGCGTTCAAAGACGTCAGATTGTGCGGTTGCAGATCACCGTGCCAGAACCCGGTCATGTTCGAGTAATACGACCCTTCCTTTGGGTCAAGCTCGCCACCAAAGGTCATAAATGCGTTCACCAGAGGCATCATGTTCGGGTCCTCAACGGGCTGTTTTCAACCCTTGTGAGTTACGTACGCTTCTGATAGGCTCCAGGTTGTAGTACTGACGAGCGAGAAGTTAGTTGCGGTACCGTTCAACCACGCGCTATAGTTGGACAGCTGGTAATTGAGTGACTGCAGACCATCGAGGTACTGATCGCGCGTCATCGTGACTTCGTCTCCTCTGCCATTTGTGAGCATAAAGAGCACAAAGGTGATGAAGAGGAACGACGGTATCGAGCTTCGCTGCTGCCGCGGTGCCTCGACGCCATTCTCTAGGTCTTGAGGCTCGTTGTTGGGGGTACTCATGACGGCGCGAGTGCTCCTGCGAGCATCTCTCTAGAACAGCTTCCGAAGATCCGAATACTAGGTCAGAGCAGCTACTCGAGACCCGGGTTGGTGGCGGCAAGAGGAAGAGGTGAGGTAGTGGCTGTGCACCATGTGGCGTCACCAGGACAGGATTGCTGGCTTTACTTAATAGGCGCCTGGAGCAGTCACCACTCTTGCGAGTCCCTTCCGAATGCTGTTTCGACTCATACATCTGCGTCACATTGGGGGTATATGGTGTGCGCATACTACTGGAGCATACATCGGCCGACAAACGGGTTGAGCACACAGCTCCATACAATGTGACAAGATCCCCATCCTCAAGGCCTGGTGGTCTAGTAGTATGATTCCTTCTTAGGGCGGCAGCCGCAATATGGAGGAGGTCCCGGGTTCAATTCCCGGCCAGGCCCTTTTTCTTGCCTCGCTGGAGTCCTAGCTCTCGCGCGGCGCATCGTTTTACGGTAAGCTGTTGTATTTGTCCAGCCATCTCACGGTTCTCCCTGCCTCGCTTTCGTTGGGCAACTACTACATGTACAGTAGAGGAGGGAGGACTAGAGCGGCAGTTCAAGACCGAGCTGAATCAGGAACTCATTCGCTTCCTTGCGGAAGGTGTCCGGTATGATCTTCAGCGGTGTCTTCCCTTCGACGAAGGCGAGAAGCTGCGGAGACTTTGTAGTGTAGACGGGCCAGTGGATGTGGTGGCCGCCGTTTGGGTCGAGCGTGTTCACAAAGCGAACGAGGAAGTCGGTCATGTCCCCTCCGCCGAAGACGTTGGCGAGGTCCGTCGTGTGTGCCTGGACATCGTATAAGGAGCGAGGTCCGTGGTCCAGAACGAGAGACACTCACAGCTCCCATCCCGGGAATTTTGTTGCGTGCGCTCACTGGACATATTATCAATCAGCGGGTCTCCTAGCTCATGATTTGTAGGGTGACTTACGGAAGGAGCGCATAACCTGTTTCCCCGTCCGTTCGAGCTGCTCCAAGAAGAAGCGCCGTCCTGCATGGAAGTATATGTCACCTTGGAAGGCGGAGAGACGTTTGTACTCCGGCGTAAAGGCGAAGGCATGCCCAGTTCCGTAAGGCGAACCGAGGGCGGGATCGGCCGGATACACTTCCAGGAGTCGAGTTATGTTCGCTTGCGATGCCCCTGGGAAGTAGTTGCTCTTGACGTACGCTGCTGCTTCTGCCTGTGTCCTTCAGCCGCAATACCCAGGGTCAACTTCAAGCACGAGTGGGGATAGCTCGCCAGGGACGTACGTGAGGTTCAACGACGCCAGGGAGGACAGCGTTCCTTCATCCTCGCAGGCACCTGGAGGAGATGATGAGCAATCCACACGAGCACCACCAAGCGGCCGTGATACTGACCGATTACGAACGGTATATGAGCAATCTTGTTCTGGAGCACGAGCTGCTGCAGATCGTCTGTCAAGAACAGTCCGTCCGCGTGTGGCATCCACGGCGTGTTGAGGGCCTGCAGGTGCATGAGACTGTTAGTCCTGCCGGATCGGACGACGCCCAGCTCACCTGGAATGACAGATAGGTCGGCGTCTTGTCCATAGCATCCCTGATGGCATCTGTCGGGACCTCGCGCAAGCACTGGAGGATGTCAATAGCGGACGAGCAACCCGTCTCGGAGGCGATGAAGTCGAACGTCGGTTGGAGCTTCGAGGAGTTGCCTGCTGGCGTGACCGCTCCGGACTCCATCCATCCGGCACGGAACAGGCCCTCAGTGTTACCGTTGTTCGTGAGCATCTGGAATGCGACCGAGGAACTCCCTGCGCTCTCGCCCCAGCTAGGACGTATCAGTGCTATATCGCGGGATTCTCACTGGAGCACATACATGGTCACCTTGGTCCGGTCGCCTCCGAATGCTCCGATATGTCTTTGAACCCATCGTAGGGCTTCTCGCTCTGCGGTAAATGTCAGTCCTGTGGAGAATGGACGAGATAACTATATAGAGTATATACTCACGATCCTGAAGCCCGAGATTGCCAATGCCGGCGTTGGAGACTTCGCGACCGCCGAGGAATCCGAAGGCTACACGAATGTCAGGTGAGAAGATGATGCGAGTGATCACTAAGTCTCACCGCTCAGACTACCCTTGAAACGTCAGCGAGGCACCACAGGATAGGATAATGCATCAGCCTAGAGGACGTACCGGTAATTCATCGAGACGAAGATGACCGGTTGCCCGAGTTCGATAGACCTGTTCACGACGACTGCACCAGGGCGTCTATCATGCCGCGAAGGTGAACCTCAGAGCGACAGCAAAGACGAAAGGGCTTACACTGCATTTGAACCGACTTGGAAGCCGCCTATGAGGCCGATCCGATGTCAGCAGAACATTCCCAAAGGGAAAGCGATACGAAGTACCTCCGAATATCCACTAGGAATGACGTATCAGAACAGAGAGAACGCCATAGTCGGAAGAGGACTCACAGCAGCGATTGGGAGCTTAGCGTCGGGCTTGGTACCCGCGGGAACGATCACGTTAATGTTCAAGCCTAGACAAGTTCAGCGCACATGTGGAGGACGTCCACGAGCTCACTCACAATCCTCGCTCTGCGGCACGTCCGGCGGGACCGTCATCGCCACGACGAAGGGCGAAATCTCCGGAGGGAGGTTGCTAGGTAAGGTGGGCGGAGTAACGTCTTGTTGGATGCACTGGTTCCCGAAGGTCGTCGCGTTGATGGTGCCTCTGTAACGGCGTATAGGCTGCGGGAGCTGCAGCCTCAGGTTTCCGACCCTATCGACATCGTGACTCGTCAGCGACCACGCGGGGGAGAGCGAAGAATGGATATACGGGGGCTCGGCGAACGGGATCCCAAGAAACTGGTCGACGACGCCGTCGCTCGTCCCAACCACGGTGGCTTCATCGAGTCTGACGATCGCTACCTTCGCGGTAGCACCTGTCAATATGGCAGTCAGGAAGAGGAGAGGAAGCGAGAGCATGAGAGGCGACGGTTCGTACTGCTATGCCTAGAGCAGAGCAGCAGTGAAGTCGCCCTTGCCTCAGCCCCATTATATACCGGCGCCGCTGAATGCTCTTCATCCTTCCCGTGTGTGGCTGCTGTGATCCATGTAATAGCCAAGCGGGCGGGGGCGAGCTGACATACCTTTGAAGTATTGGAAGCGGCGGACCGCGAGGCTGCAGGTCTTCGAAGTAAGGAGTATACTGAGGCCGCCGAGCAGAAGTCGGAAGCGAGAGTGATTAGTTCTTCTTGACAGATGCTGTCAGCCAATCGCCAGGGAACGGTGTCTCGTCTACCTCAGAGCGACACATTCTGAAGCCGAAGTAGTGGTGCCAGACGCATAAATGAACGGGAGGGGGGAGGCGGTGCGGCTGTAGAACTGCAGAAGCGCCTCTGAAGGTCATGAGCTCCTCGGAGTTCGGGAATGGCGAATCCCGCCGAAATACACTTCATGCACACGAGGAAAGTCATGTGGGAAAGCCTGGGAGCGTTCACCGTATGCAAGGCAGATCGTCCAGACGTTTCGGTAGAGGGCCGAGTATGACAAGCAACGCGAGGCCGTTTTGGACGGTCGATTGTGTGGAACTAATAACAGTAGTAATGCTAACGGATTAGCTCTGCAGCGTTCGCCCAACGGGGCTTGATCGCACAGTCAAACTCCTCCGGGTGTCTTGGCATGGTCTTCAGTAACGGGAACTTCGGATGCTGCTTCGAAGGGTACGCACGAGATGATGAGATGAGTTGTCATCCTTGGCTTCAATTCCTTCGGACACCCGTTCTCGTCAAGCGGTGGTGCGACGCTGAATACGTGCAGGATCGCTGCACACGTGAGGAACAGCGAGGCATCCGCCAGGTGTCGACCCGGACAGATCCTGTCAATACGCTAGCGTCTCCGACTTCCCCCTGGCGAAGCAACGCATGAGCGGGCGCACCTCCGTCCGAAGCCAAAGATGTAGGAGTACGGGTCCCGCACGCTGGTATCGAGCTTGCCGTCTTTCAGAAAGCGGTCCGGATTGAAGGTCTCGGGGTCGGGATAGACAGCGGGATCGCGAGAGTACGCCCTGTTACTGCGTATACAGTCGCAGCATGAGACTCATCTCCGACGCACTTACCATAGATTCGTGATGACCACAGTTCCTCTCGGAATGTAGTACCCGTTGTATTCGTCGTCCTCAAGGGCGGCGTGTGCCAGTCCGATGGGAGCGACGACGTGCCATCTGCTCAGCTCCTTTACGAGGGCACTGATATACGGCAGGCTATCGCGGTCGTTGAGGTCTGGGAGACGGGATCGCCCGACCGTTCGGTCCAACTCATCCTGAGCCTTCTTCTGTACTTCAGGGTACATTGCCATAGCAAGCAGGAATGCACGCATGGAGGCGACAGTCTGTTAATGGGAGACATTGCATATTAGCGCATTGACACCACATCAGAATCAGCGACGTGTAACTCACCGTGTCCGAGCCCGCTATAATACTCTGAGCGTCAGAGACTCTGTTGCACAGCAATTGGAATATCGCTTGACATACCGAGATACGTCGTCACCGCTACTGAAGCACACTTCTCTTCCTCCTCTGCAGCAGCTTGCTTGTCCAGTTGAGCCATTCCCCGCAGACTCGTGGCCACAATCGAATCACTCCCCTCGCCAGCTTCCTATACGCGTGAGTTAATCAGAGCATGGCAGCCTCAGGTCGCGACCCTTGCTCACCGCACGCTTCTTGCCTTCTTCGTACAGTACTCGCATAGTGGCGTGGACTTCTTCACGCAGGGCCTTGCTATCCTTCCTGAATTTCTGGCCCGGGATCCAGCTCGGCAAGTGCTGTAGCGCGGGGAGAACTTCAACGAGGTACTGTCCCGGCACTACAACAGCCTCAATCAAGTCATGGCTGACGTGTAACATGTTTACGAAACGGTCGTCGTCCTTCGATATCTTGATACCGTATCCGATGTCCAAGACGGAAGCCGCGAAAGCACTCGTGCCGCATCTCAGCGGACCGTTCGCTGTACAAGAACGACCGCACTCACTGGTCAATATGGCGTGAGAACTCATGCGGACTTTCCAGTAGATTTGAGAGGAGGAGACGCGTGACCCGCGTCAGCTGGTCATGATAACGGGAGGTAATCGTCTTCTGCTGCAGTGTTTGATGGTAGACACGCCGATGCTTGCGCCAATGATCCCCGTATGGCATGACTGGCAGGCTGAAATCCGTCATGGTCGCTCTACAGGAGAAGAAGCCGGTGAGCGTGTTCCCTGAGGCCAAGATCTTGCCGTGGCACCTACAATTTCACCATCACTGAATCCGGTCTATCCGCATATGTCCTTGATCTCCTTTCTAATAATTCGCGGGTGGCGTCGTAGGAGTCAAGGACGAGTATCGGTTTGCCTAGGACTTCGAGGTAGGCGATTCCGCCTGTGACAGTTTGTCATTGAGTGAGTTCAT